CAGAGGTCAGGCTGCTGCTGCAGGGCTCCTTGGATCAAACTGGGCTCTAGATTGGTTCTCTCAGTGTGACCATCAGTCACCTCCCCTCTCTGGGGTCCACAGATTTTCCCACCTGCTGGGAACGAAGCCGCTTAAGTCTAGAGAAGTGACTTGCCCGGGTCAAATGGCCCACAAGTGGCAGGCAGAGTCAGGACTCAAACCCAGTCTCCCTTCCTCTGGTCTGTGTGCCTTCAACCAGGCCTGGAGCCACACTAGCCATTTTGAGGGTGATGAAAGATACCACAATCTCTAAACAGCAAAAATGCCCAAGCCATTGTTAGGTGTCCCACAGATGGAAACATTTTCCTGAAACTATTTTTCAAGCAGAGGCTTTTGTAAAAAGACAAGAGATTCCTCTGGATTCTCTTTGTGGGACAGGTCTGAACTTGGAGTCCAGATAAGGCCTGGGTCTCTGCAGGTGTCCTAGGTACCTGCAACTCCTCCTGGTCCCAGGAGCCATGTGCCTGGCATGCAGGAAGGGTTGGGAATGGGCATGTACTTTCTGCTGTTGCCAGGGCCAGCCTGTGGTCATCACTCCCTCCCTCCTTCCCCACAGAGGCTGGACCTGTGCAGAAGTGAGAGGGGCCTTAGCATGGCTGCAGCTTTGAAGCTTGCTCATCCATATACTAAGCTCTGGAGTCTGGGTCAGGACGACATGGCCATCCCCAGCAAGCCTTCCACCGCCTCCCCTGAGAAGCCCTCAGCTCTGTTTGGTACTTCCCCAGCCCTGCCTCACAAACCCCAGAACCAGGATGGGATCCTGAGCCCCAGCATCAAGGAGGAAGCTCCCACCCAAACTCCAGGCAGCATCACCATTCCCCGGCCGCAAGGCAGGAAGACCCCTGAGCTGGGCATCGTACCTCCACCACCCACTGCCCGCACAGCCAAGCTGCAGGCTGCTGGCGGCCCACTTGGTGACTTCTCTTCTGAGCAGCTGCAGATGGACCGGCAAAGACAAGCTGCCCTGAGCCCAGCCCCACTGCCAGGACTGCTCCCCAGTGCAGAACTTCTGCAGCCACTCAGCCCAGCCCCGGGAGCTGCAGGCACAGGCAGTGATGCCCTGCTTGCCCTCCTGGACCCACTTAACACAGCCTGGTCAGGTAGCACCATCCCACCACATCCTGCCACTCCCAGTGTGGCTGCCCCACTCACCCCCCAGCTCAGCTTCCCCCCCACAGTGGCATCCACCCCTTTTGCACAACCACCACTCAATCCCTTTGTCCCGTCCATGCCAGTAGCAGCGCCCGCCCTGCCCCTGGGCTCTGCACCAGCCAGGCCTTTTGGGACCCCTCCAGCGTCCCTGAGGCCGGCATATGCACCTAGCATCCTATTGTCTGGTTCTGGCTTCTATGCCCCTCACAGGTCTCAGCCCAACCTGTCTGCCCTCTCCATGCCCAACCTCTTTGGCCAGATCCCCGTGGGTGCCCACACTAGTCCCCTGCAGCCACTTGGTCCCCCAGCTGTTGCCCCCTCCAGGATCCGAACATTGCCTCTGGCCCGCTCAAGTGCTAGGGCTGCTGAGGCCAAGCAGGGGTTGGCCCTGAGGCCTGGTGAACCCCCACTGCTGCCGCCCAGACCTCCCCAGGGTCTAGAACCAGCCCTGCAGCCCTCTGCTCCTGCACAGGCCAGAGACCCCTTTGAGGATTTGCTACGAAAAACCAAGCAAGATGTGAGCCCGAGCTCAGCCCCAGCCCCCGCCTCTGTGGAGCAGCTCCGCAGGCAGTGGGAGACCTTCGAGTGAGCAGGCCTGTGCCACCATCCAGTACTGTGCCTCCCTATGTCCCATTTCTGACCAGGCTCCACTGGGGCAAAGGGACTCTCTGCCCCTCTCCTCCACAGCCCATCTCTGAGGCCTGGTCCTGCGAGTGGTACCATCCCAAGAGAGCTGCCTGTCACTCTCCTTGGCACCCTGTATAAGGTTTGCACTAGAGGTCCACTGGGCCAACTGTGTCCTACCGCCGTCCCTCCAGTAGCCCAGGAGGAGCCAGGAAGCTCAAGGCCTCTCTCAAGCCCAGCTCTCCTCCTCTGCCAGGCCGTGCCCCACAGGGCCCATGTTAGTGACACCCGTGTGAGCACAGCGTTGTGGAACACAGGTGTTGGGGGGCTGAAGTGACCACTCCTGGGCTAGCGTTTCTCCTTGATGGGTGTCTCCAAACTTCTCTAGCAATATATTCTTTCCTAACCACCAAACCTGAGTTGTTCCTGGGGGCGAGGGGTCTGGAGACCCAAGCTCCAAACCCAGCTCCAGCCAGCCCTTACAGGGCTTGGGAACACCAGCAACTCCGATTTATAGGAGAAACCCACAAATCTGAGTGTTAGTAGCCTTCAGCTCACTGCCACCCCCATATGTCAGTCAAAGCTCAGGCTCAGCCTCCTGCCACTTGGAGCTTTATAGGCAGAGCTGGGCACCAGTAACCCAGATTCCAACTCAACGGACAAGCTTCCTGCCACAAAGGGGGAGGCACAGCTGTTTGGGCTCCTAGGTCAGAATGAGGTGGGGCCTTAGGGCCCCCCGGATTCCCCATGGAGAGAATAAATATGGCCTCTAATCCTGGGGAAAGTGGGGGCCTGGGAGCCAGCCTTCCCTGCCATCTCCAGCTTCTCGCTAGTGCAGAAATTCCTGAGGCCAAGTCACCAAAGTTATAATGAAATGTTTTGTTATTGTTTCTTTGATCTTGCTTTTCCTTCTTACCTTATTGATTTGATGAATCTTAAAAATTGATTCCTTTCAATAAATCTTTAAGAAAACATCCATCAGAGACATGCAGGAAATTGTGCACATTTGACCTGATTTCTCATTTCCTATGTGTGAATGGTCAGACAGCCTACCCCAGGGTTTCTGATGGGAACAAGGGGGTGGGGTCATTGGAGGCCCCTGTCATTCTAGGGAACCCTCTCTGTCTGAGAGGTTGCTCTTGGGCCCCTGAGGCCTAGGCCTGAAATGCACCCCTCAGGGCTCTGTCTTGGGGAGGGGGGGCTCAGCTGCTGAGGAGCTGAGTCATGGGGACCTCCTGGCATTTGTGTTCCTGGACAGGTCTCAGTTCCACTCCTTCCATCCCAGAAAATTCCAAGTCCCACCCCAGTGGGCCAGTGCGGTGACAAGGTGTCAAGCAGCATGGGAAGCCACACACACCTACGGTCCACTAGGGCTGGTGCACACATTCGCTTAATTTGAACGTAGAATGAGAACCCAGTGATGAACTGTATGTTTAGTTGGGGAGAACGCTGTGGTCCTGAGTCCTTCAAATGAGGGGAAGCCTGAGCAGGCACTTGGCCATCTTCACCATCAGCTTGCCCCTTCCCTGCCAGGGAGGGAACTGGGGATGGGCAGGTGGGCAGGATTACAGGAAGGAGCAAGTTCCACCCTTGCCCCAGACCTCCACAAGAACAGCCTCTTCCCGCAAGGGGATAGATACTGTGCGGCCCACACTGGTGATGCTGCGATGTCTCGTTGTTGGCGTCCTGCAGGAAACATCTTAGGATCTGGCAACTGGAACAGTTCACCCATTTCCCCTCCCCTCTTCCAAGGGACACCAAGACAGCTAGGGGCAAGTTGGTCCCACCGCTACAGGGTAAGGACCAAGCAGGCCTCTCAACATCCAGGGTCTCATCAAAGCTTCTACTGAACCCCAGTGCCCCCAAGTCTGTGCCTTCTGGAGGTGACTGAAACCTGAGACATCCAGCTTCCTGTGTAAAAGTCCCCTGACATTGACACATGGAGCCCCCAGTTAGGAGGCACTGGCCTGGTCAGCAAGGATGACAGAGGGCCCTGGCAAGTCCAAAGGAGGCTGGATCTGCAGGCAGTGCCCTCTGGGGGTGGAGTCAGAAGTCAAGTGCACTTGAGTGTGTAGCCACAGGATATAACCCTGCAGCCTGAGGACCAGTGCAGTAGCTGCCGATGCGCCTCTGCCGAGCACTGGTGGGCACACAGTTGAGGCCTGCCTTGGCATGCTTTCCCTCAGTTAACAGCCATACACAGACAACGGAACTGCAGGCAATAGGTCAGCCTGTGCTGCAGAACCACAGAGCTGCAGGGACAGAACTGCATCTCCATTCTGCCCGCTGGCCTTGCGAGGGTTCCAGGAAGCCCCTTCGGCTGTAGGCAGGTGGGGCACTTTCCAGTACTCAAAAGGGCAGTTAGTCTTTTCCATCAGATGGAGTTTAAACAGCTTCTGGAGTTTCTGCCTGTTTGTCTCTCGGATCCTCAGAATAGCCCTGTGAGGTGGGCAGAAAGGTTGCTCCATGCCTGCAGATGCCCACAGCAGGCAGGACAGCCAAGGGCAGCTGTTCCTTGGTTCCCGTAGGCCTGCCCTACAGACCCGGGGGGGCGGGTATTAGCCATGGCACTGTCCACCAGATCTGCCCAAAAGGGCTTTTGTTCTGGAAGCCAAGAAGCCATCCCTATTCCCCAGCTTCTCTAGGACAAAGGCTGCCCTTAGAGGTTGGACAAGATGTCAAGACCCAAGTCTAGGAGCTTGGGCAAGCTCTGGCCTGTCCAGTGCTAGAGAGCGTGCAGCCTTGGGCTTCCCTTGTCTCAGAGGCACCCAGGTTGTCCTCGGCCATGAAGCAGCCTCTTCCCCTGTGAAATCACTTGCCACACTACAGTCATGTAGACTCTCAGGGCATGCTCACACCCCATCACAGCACAGTGCAATGTGCAACACACCCCTCATTCATTCATACTCTCTCTCTCTCTCTCTCTCTCTCTCTCTCTCTCTCTCTCTCTCTCTCTCTCTCTCTCTCTCCCTCCCTCTCCCTCTCCCTCCCCCTCTCCTTCTCTCTCCCTCCCTCCCTCTTCTTCCCTCCCTCCCTCCATTCTCCTCTCATGTCTTCTCTCTCCCCCAGACAGACAGAAAGATACACACATACATACACCTGTCAGTCATACCATGGGTACCCACATGTACCCTCCTATATACAGCCCAGCAGGTCAGAGACATTCATACTCCCACAGCCTCCTCTGCTTTCCTGAGTTGTTCCCCATTTTCTGACTCCATGATGGACAGGGCAAGGGTTGCCAACCATGGTGGCACATCCTGTGGGTGTCCTAGCTCTGGAAATAGTCTCCCCCAGCCTCCAGGTAGAGGTTCTGCAGTGATCCTGTAGGACCTTTAGGGCATGGCACCAGCAGCCAGACCAGCCTAGATAAGTCTTTCCTCTGGTGGCACCTTGAGGACACTGTCCATCTCCAGACGAGCCCCTGCCACCTCCTGCTGACTTGGGCTGTAGGTGCCCTCAGACTGGCGGCGCTTTCTTGCAGCAAGGATCCCTGAGAGGAGGCCCAGGAGGAGGAGGAGGAGGCAGGCACAGGCTGCAGGCACTGCTACCTCCAGCAGCGGGAATGGCAGGGGCAGAGGCAGGCTTTTCTGCAAGAGATGAGAGACAAGAAGACTCAGAGAAGTAGGCTTCCCAGAGTCAGTGCAAGAGGCAGCCCCTGGGTGTGCAGGCGGGAGCCAGGAAGCCACCTGTCCAGGCCAATCTAGGGCTGCTGCATAGCCCTGGCTAGGAGGGTACACAGTAGACATTCCAGGAGTGCTTGTGGGAGTTAGGGGGTGTCACAAAGTTCAACAACAGTCAGCTGAAGTAAAGCAGGAGCAGAAAGCAGAGCCCACTGATGAGAGACTTCACGATTGCCTGCCTGCTTGCAAGGGGTTGCTCTGACAGCCTGTCCCTGGCAGACTTGAGCCTGGTTTGGGGGTGAGGGCAGCATTCCCCATCTCCAGTCACAGACTCCCACAGTGACCCATCAAAGATTCCTCATACCTAGAGCTCTTAAGTCCTGGAATCAGAATCCCCACAATCCAGACTCACCGTCTCGGAGGCTTCTCAGCCTGCTGTCACCTGCATCCCCACCCCCAGCATTCAGGCCTGGAGAAGGGAGCCCCAAAACTATAAAGTTCACACCTTCGCCCTCTCTATCACTTCAGCAGGAGCTGTAAAGCCATTTCCTTCCCCTGGGCGGGTGGGGGGTGGTATATAGTGGGTAGGTGGAGAAGCAAAGCAAAGCAAAGCCTGTAAAAGTTCAACTTGAAAGGAACACTTCCCAGAAGCAAAAGGGACTCCTGGCTTACAACCAGCCTTCTGGGAGCCTACAGGGATCAAGGCACTCCCCAGGCTGCCCTTCCAGAAAACCATTTATCGGCACCCACTGTGGTCTCAGAGCCTCTCCAAGGCTCGGTGCTGGTCCCCACAGGCCCAGTGCTCTGTCAGCTGAGCCTTCTTGGGGCAGGGATACCTGGAGTGCCGGATCTGCTTCAGAAACTGTTCTGGAACCCAAGGAGACTATAAGCCCCATGATCCTATGGGCTCAGAAGCCAGTCCCAGATCCCAACCTGCCCCCACTGCCACTACCCTAGATACCACCTAAAAGCCCCAGACTGTGCCTAATAGCTGGTGGGCTCCCCAAGCTCTCCCTGAAGTGAAAATACATCCTTCATGGGGTCCCCCACACACACCTTCAGCAAAGCCCGTCCAGTGCCAAGTCCACAAAGACCATACTCTCCCTGTCCACTGACCTCTTGCTAAGGTCAAAATAGGCCTGGCAGCCCACCCCTAGGTACCACTCACCACCACTTCACAGAACTGGCCAGAGAATCCTGCATTGCAAGTGCATTCAGATATGCCACTGACTGCCCGGCAGGTGCCTCCATTCAAGCAAGGGTTGGCTTCACAGGGTAGGTCAGGACTCTGACACCTGGAAGACACAGAAGACCCCTCACAGCTGCCTCCCATTCCCCTAGTTTCCCCACCCTGCCTCCACCCAAGCATCAAAGCCTATCCAGCCACTGTTCCAGCATGGCTGAGTTCTGCCAAGTGACCAGAGCTGAAAATGATTTCCATCACCTCCCCACTCCCCTTGAGCCCAGTGTTCATGACTGAGAAGTGCTCTTACTCCATGAACGTGAGGAAGAGCACATGGCAGGGAGGGATGACAGCTGCACCTCTTGGAGGCCCAGAAGTTAAAATTTGGCCATGTCCACTGAGGACCAAAGGGCTGTAAGAAACTAGGTTGGCTGGGGGGTGGGGGGCGGCGGCGGCGGTGGCGGCAGCAGCAGCAGCAGCAGCAGCGGCGGCGGCACATGCCTTTAATCCCAGCACTTGGGAGGCAGAGACAGGTTCAAAACTCTGAGTTCAAAGCCAGCCTGATCTACAGAGTGAGTTCCAGGACAGTCAGGACTACACAGAGAATCCCTGTCCAAAAAAAAAAAAAGAAAGGAAGGAAGGAAGGAAGACGGAAGGAAGGAAGGAAGACGGAAGGAAGGAAGGAAGAATGGGCTAGACAACCACTGTCCTGCTGACATTTTGGAAGTCCCAGAAGAACCAAGACAAGAAAGACCCCATTTCCCTTGCCCAGGCTGGGAAATCCAGGGGCAACCTCCCAGTCAACCTTCCAGGACCCTGGTCCCCAGACCCACCTCAGGCCAGCAAGGCCCTCCTGGCAGCTGCAGTTGGTGCCTAGAGACCCACCCTCACAAGGGGCGCCATCCTTGCAGGTGGAGTTGAGGCTACATCCCTGAGGCAGAACAGGCACCCTGCAGAGAAAGCGCAAGGCTGGGTGGAGGTAGGGTGCTGGGAGCTGGCCACGGTGCTCTCATCCGGGGAATGCAGGCCCACCCTCTACAGCCCTCCCCCTGACAGAAGCAGAAGAACACAGGGCTGTGGTTCTGCTCCTTTCTCAACCCACAAGAGCCGAGGACCTTGATACGCGCTGAAATTAAAGGGCGGGGCAGGACAAAACAGTTCCTAAACTTCTCGAGAGGGTTAGACAGCTCTAGACCCAGGAGGAAATGGGGAGAGTTCAAAGGCTCTGGCGGGGGGGGGGGGTATCGTTAAGGGCAGCTTGCTTCAAAGCCCCCAAATCATGCCCCTAACTCTCCTCAAACCACAATGTTTTTTCTGAATTCAAATTTAGCCTGTATTTTAACCTGTGTATCATCTTTTTGAGCATCAAACAGAGGCTAAGGAGAACTCATCCCTCCTAATCCCTCTGTCCCCTGCCACCCGCACCTGCAGCGAGGACCAGCGAAGCCTGGAGGGCAGCGGCACTCGAAGCGGCCTTCGGGGCGCGCGTGGCATTGGCCCCGGACACAGGGCGACGAGCGACAAGGGTCAGCGCGGGCCTCGCAGCGGGGTCCCTCCCAGGCCGGGCGGCAGGCACAGGCGAAGACATCAAAGAGGTCTCGGCAGGCACCGCCGTGCAGGCAGGGAGAGGACGCGCACACGGGCGCACCATGGCATCCAAGGCGCATGGCTGGTGACCCAGGCCAGGCCACGAAGTGCTCGCGGGCTCCGGGGATCGCACCCGGTCGCGGAGGCGCAGAGGGTAACGGGAGGCCACCGAGCGCCACGCGGCCCAGGCAGCCTGTGAAGTTTTCAGCCAGCAGCACACGCACGGCGTCTGGGCCCTGCAGGAAGCCCAGGTCGCCACCCAGGCCCTGCAAAGCCACGGGCGTCGCCGCGCCGTCCAGCCACAGCAGCCAGCGTGAGGCGGTGGCTTGTGGGAGCTCCCGGGCCAGACGCACGTGGTGCCAGGCGCCGTCGGCCACGCGCGGCCCGGGCGCGGGCAGCACCGAGCCCGCCACATCCGCTGCCAGCGAGCCGTTGTGCAGCGCCAGCCAGATACCCGAGTCTCTCCGCGGCACGCTCTCCACGGCGCGCAGCAGCCCAGCCTCGGGGTCGCGAGTGCGGAAGGCCAGGGTGAGCTCGCTCAGGGGCCGCGCCCAGGACACGTTGTGGCCGCTGAACACAGCAGGAGGGCCCTCTTGGAACGTAGTCTCTGCCACACCTACAGAAGTTAGAGCCACTGGGAAATGACCTGCCACCTTCTCCACACACCACCCGGCCCCCAGGCGTGCAGGTGGTAGGGTCCACTGACCATAACTACTGACCAGGGCAGGCACCTGTCACCTGCAGCCTCCGTTTTCTACCCCTTACGCATTCTCCATCTGGAGGGAATCAGTTCCAGGGCAATCCTAAGGGGACCCACAACACCTGCTACCCTGAAAGCCTGGGACACAGCAACAATATTAACTCCTCCGAAGTCCAGCCTGCTCCCCATGTCCAGTCACATCCCTCTCCCCTTTACAACCCTCTGAAGTCTGGCAATGTAGCTGAGTTGGTACAGTGCCTAGCATGTAGGAGGCCCTGGGTTCCATCCTTGGCACCCTACAAATTGGGTGTGGGGACCCTTACCTGATGTCCCTAAACTAGGGAAGTTGAGGCACTACAATCACAAGTTCAAGATCACTCTTTGCTATATAGTGATTTCAGGGCTAGCCTGAGCAATGTGGGACCCTTTAGTCTCTGAGCTAGGCTTCAAATCCCTACCAACTTCTCCATCCATCTTCTACAGCATCTTCCTAACCTTGTGTTTCTGCTATCCTTAAGAACCTCAAAACCTCATACATGCCACCCCACTTCCTAACGTCCCTCTCCTCTGGCTTCCGTGAAGTTGCCTTGGAAACCCCTCTGTCCCTCAGAATACAGTGGCCCGCCACACTGGGGTTGTTGGCACTCCTGGTCCACAGCCCACCATCCCATAAACCCTAAGGAATCTAACCAGCTTCAGTGTTCTGCACCCAAACTCACATACAAAGCCATCGGGAACCTCCTCACAGGTGGCAGGTGGGAGGCAAGGCCGGCTGGGGCACCACAGCTGCTGGGCACAGGTGGGCCCTGTGAAGTTGTCAGAGCAGCTGCAGGAGAAGTCGTTCCAGGTGACGTGGCAAGTTCCACCATTGGAACAGGGATTGGGCTGTGGAAGAGTCAGGATACCAGTGAGCAATCAGGACAGTAGCCTCTCACCCCCCTGACCACCTCACCACAAAGTTGAGGGGAACTTGTCATCACTCCTACATTGCAGATGGGAAACTAGACCAAGCGAGGTGAAGCCGTTGGTCTGAGGGCCCAGGCGGGAAGAGGCTAGCCTAGCTCGCACTCGCTTATTCAGCTGATGCTCTCTCTGCTCACAACCCTCGCCGCCTCTTCCCACAAGCACCAACTACAGAAAGGCTGAGGCCCTCCTCTGTCAAGGTCGGGCTGTCTTCTCAGACGGGCAAATGGGATCGCGGGGCCACTGGAAAGAACAGCTGGACAGGGAGGAAGTGGCTACACTCTACCGCTCAAATGACAGGATTGTGAGAGGTCACGTGACTGAGCCTCAGTTTACCCTGTCATAGCACTGATTCTAGCTAAAGACCTTCTCCCACGCACTCACGTTGCACATGTCCTCAGAGACACAGCCCTGGGTGAGGTTAGAGGACTGACCAGCATCCAGTTCACTGGGCCAACTCAAGTTCTCCATTGGTGAAGAGAAGAAGGGGAGGTGGAGGCCGTTGAGTTGCAAGTCCTGGAGACAGCCCCGGAAGGGCCCGCCCCAGGGCTGGGTGTCATCAAGGTAGACCTTCCCACCCACATACAGCTGCTGGCCCAGGTCCTGCAGCTGGTCAGGACCAAAACTGAGCACCACCAAGTGGCGGAGTCCATCATCCCAGCGCCCAGGGAGGATCACAGCAGGATGACCCAGCACCTCAGTCCGGATCTGGCCCTCACTCAGGGACACAGTTAGGCTAGCCACTGAATCATTGACAAACTGGAGTAGCAGACCAGCAGGCTCCCGAGTGCGGAGAAAAAAGGACACAGTGAGGTTTGGGCCTAGCAGCTGACGGAGCAGGAAGGAGACTGAGCTCATGGTACCGCCCAGGCCAAAGGTGGCAGCAGGAATCTCTGCAGGGAGAGACAGTACTGGGGTGAGACCAGCAGGTTAGGGGCCCAGCACTGATGCTACCCCCCACCTGCTGACCCTCACCATCAGTGCATGTGGGCCCACGGTAAGGTCTTGGGCAGTTGCAGCGGAAGTGAGTCCACAGGTCCACGCAGGCCCCTCCATGGGCACAGGGCAGAGGTTGACATGGTTCCCTGCGCTTGCAACCCAGCAGCACATTTCCATTGAGTTCCTCAGGCAGCAGAAGGTGCCCTTCCACATGCACATCCTGGAAGCAGCCTGCAAAGGCCCAGCCACCCAGATGGATAGAGTAGAGCCCAGGAGGCCCAGAGGCCACTGAGGCTGTGGGACTTGTAGCCGTGGGACTTGTAGCCACGGGACTAGCGACCACACAGAGCTGGCCAGGGCAGCCCTCATGCCAGAGCCGAAGCTCCAGGGCTCCAAGGCGGAGTGCCACCTCCACCTGGTGCCAGCGGCCATCATTTAAGGCTAGGTCTGGCAGTGTAAGGACAAGCACAGCGGTGCCGTGTCTCCAAAGTGTGGCTTGGAGTGTGGCCCTCATCAGTACCAGCTCCAAGCTGACCTGAGTGTCCTTGAGAGTGGCCAGGGTCCCAGCAAACAGTGTGGTACGAAACGTCAGTAACAGACCCAGAGAGTCACCAGCTGGCACCAATCCCCACACAGAACTTCCGGATATGACCGAGAAAGTGGTATTCTGGCCACAGAAAGGCCCATAGGTCCCAGGTGGGCAGCGACAGGCGTAACCGTGGAGCCCAGACTTGAAGGTGGGGATGCAGGTGGCAGCCAGTGGGCAGGTGTGGTCCTGGCAGCCTGTGAGCTGGACAGAACAGTCCTGTCCACCCCAGGCCTCAGGGCACTGGCAGACATAGCCTGCTACAACGTCACTACAGGTCCCACCATGCAGGCATGGTTCTGACTGGCATTCATCCACATCTTCCTGACATGTCAGGCCTAAAGGAGAGAAATCAGCCAAGAGTCAGTACACCAGGCCAGAGCCTCCGACCAGAACGCACATGCCTCTTGGTGATGCTGACCCGTGGCCCTATAGACCGCATTCCCCGGGCCTTCCCTGGCTATGCCTGATAAGTCCTGTGGGTTTGACACCCTGACTCTACCTTCCACCCCACGCCTCTTCCCTTGCCAGCTTTTTGAGCTGATCTGGCAGCCTCCAGGTCAGCTGCCTTCAGAAGTTCCTCCCTACCCATCTCCAAAGTAACCAGCGGTCCCTTTCCAAGGTGTCATCTGGTCATACTCCTTTTCGGCATATGGCCCAGCCACTCACCTTGGTGTTCAAGACTGTCATAGGCTAGGCCCTGCCAGGCTCTCACGCCTCAACCTTGCCCCCTGAAATCCTTAAACTTGCTATTACTCTAAGCATTTTCTAAAAAGTTGTGCCTCAACTTCCCTTACTATTTTGAAACTCCTCCTCATCCCACAAAGCCCTCTGGCCCAGAGCTTTCCTTCACACCTGACCCAAACCAAACTGCTCCACCACTCCATCACTCAGACACAACTCCCTAGAGCCCTGAGTTGAGAATATCTGTTTACTTAGCTATTCCCCTCGGAAGCCTGAATCTGTCCTTGGTACCCAGTGAAAGGACTTGGTATAGCCTTTATAGACATGGACCAGGCGCAGTGAATGATCCACCTGGAGCACACTGAGCACTCCCCAGGGCCCACTCAGTCCCTCTGCCCTAGGGTCAGGGGCCACCTCCTCTTCTCCTCCAAGATCAAAAGGCCTGCGTGCAACCCCAGCCAGAACCTCCACAGCACAAGCCAAGGCCATCTTCACCCCCACACCTCAGCCCGAGAGACCCAGGCCCAGAGGAGTCAGGCAGGATCAGTCAGCCCACACTGCTACAGCTTCCTCCTCACAGTCACCAGGCACAGTATAGGCTCCCCAGAAAGGGGCCCAGGACCCACAGTCACCAAGGCTTAAGAAGGGAGCTTCCAGGGCCCGCCTACCTCCTTCCAGACAACTCAGGAATGCCAAATGGACCCCCCACCAGAGCTAGGGTCTGAACTCAGAGATCTCCTCCCTGCCACCCACTGACTGTCTCACTGCAAGGAGCGGGGTTCCCACAGTCACACCCCCTCCAGGCTTCATTGCTGTAGCTGTGAGATGGGGATGGATGGTAAACCCTACCTTGTGAGGCTATGGAGGAGTGGGCCACTGGGGGAGGATGTGGGTGGGAGAGAGGGACTCAGGCAATGGGACAGTGCATAGGGGCGTGGGCCACCCAACGTGGGGCACTGAGCTCTAATATCTTGTTTGTTTGTTTGTTTGTGTTTTGGGGTTTTGGAGACAGGGTTTCTCTCTGTAGCTCTGGCTGTCCTGAAACTCACTCTGTAGACTAGGCTGGCCTTGAACTCACAGAGATCTGCCTGCCTCTGCCTCCTGAGTGCTGGGGTTAAAAGTGTGCACCACCACGCCTAGCGAGCTCTAATATCTTTTAAGTGGTCTAGATAGAAGGGAGGGACTGTATCTCCAGCCCCTTCCCCAAGCGAAGGAACCTGCCTCCAGGGACCTGCGGGGAAAGGAGCTAGCGTTGGGCGCCAGGCAGGAATGCTGGCCTGCGGGGAGCGCTACCCGCATTCCAGCGGGGGCAGGGACACCAGAGGGGGAGTCTGTGTGCAGTTCTGGGTCCATGGGTAGACCTGTGTTTGCACCTGAGCGTTCACACCCAGCCGCTGATGGCAGGCACAAGAGACAAAGCCTGTCCTTCGAAAGGCATGCGCCTGTGCACAGTTCTGTCTCTCTTCTGGTTTGGCTGAGGCTCTGACCACTTTGATTTGATGGCAGGGTTCAGGGGCCATCTTCCTGGTCATCACTCTGCTGTTCCTCCCAGAAAGCCTGCAGCCTCAGCCACCAGACAGCTGTATGTGAACCCCCAAAATGACTCCAGTCCAGGCCCCTCTCTTGGGTTAGTCCCTGGTTTCCCAGGCTGGCCCTGGCTCCACAGACATTCAGTATCTACAGGGCTGAAGTCACCAACCAACCAACCAACCATCAGCCAACATTCCCCAGGGCAAGAACCACCCACTCCATGCTTCCCTCCTGACTATATTCAAACTGACCAGTCCCTCCTCTTCCACTTACAAAGCTGGGGTTCCAGGTCAGCACACACACCCCAGCTGTCACCTGTACCACCACATCCACCTCCAGCCTCATTTCTTGTATGTATCAATTCACATTCAGCCAGAAGGGACCCTATCACCCAGCCTCACCCCCACGCCAGGCCCACCCCACCTGTGCACCTGTGTATCCATCCTGGCAGTAGCACTGGAAACCATTGGGCAGATCCTGGCAGCTGCCACCATGGAGGCATGGTCCTGAGGCACACTCGTCCACATCCACACTGCAGTCATCCCCTATAAAAAGATCAGGTGTTGCTGCTGCCTGCACCCCCCCAGAGGCAGACAAAAACCAAGAGTCCATTTTAAAACTGGGGAGATTGAGACCCAGAGACAAAGAGAGGAGTATGGACTCAGGCAAGGTGGCACCTGGCAGGACCAGGCCATGGGCTAGGCTGGATACATCCTTGGGGGTCTGGACCCTGGCTGAGTGCTTCTCCAAGAGGTTAACTCACCAGCAAAGCCCAGAGGACAGGTGCAAAGGAAGCCAGCAGCGCGACTGAAGCTGAAGGCTCCTGGGAAAGTGGCCTGGACACCCCCATACAAGGCTGGGTCAGAGCGCTGCAAGCACTGGCCGCCATTATGACAGGGATCCGATGCACACTCATCCTCATCCACTTCGCACCGCTCTCCGCTGAAGCCTGGGGCGTATATGAAGACATCAGGAATCGCAAAGTGCCCAGGCACCTCCCTTCGATGACCCAAGCCAACCCAGGGCGGGACAGGGACACAAGCTCAGGATGCGGATGTTGACAGAGGGCCAGTAGGGGCAGTGATGGCCGGCTACCAATTGCTGCGAATACTATGTACTAACACTCAGACACCCTTCTTGTGTGCCAGGCATGCTGTCACTGCTCTCTACAATCCAAAGGGCAGGTGCTGTTAGCAGCCCTGTTTGCAGATCAGGGAACTGAGATTCATGCATGGAGGTTACTCGTGCAGGGCCCAAACTGTACTCACGCGTGCACACGGCTTCATACCTGTCCCACCACATTGGCTAACACACACACACACACACACACACACACACACACACGAGAGAAAACTGGGGAGGGGGGGCGCAGGCGCGCACACACCTGGCCAGCAGAGGCAGCGGAAGCTCCGGAGGCCGTCGAGGCAGGACGCGTTGTGCGCACAGGGCGCTGACGAGCACTCCAGTACCTCCTGCTCGCAGTGCGCACCTTCGTAGCCAGTGTCCGCGCAGTCGCACAGGAAACTGGCGTGGGTGGGGCAGGAGCTGAGCGCGTGTCCATCTCGCAACCCACCCTCCCTGCAGCCAGGTCACCCCGCCGAGCGCTCACCCGTTGACCAGGTCGTGACACACGCCCCCATGCGCGCACGGCTGGCTCTGGCACTCGTCCACGTCCAGCTGGCAGCTAGCGCCTGCGTAACCCGGCGCACACACGCAGCGGTAGGAGCCCACACCATCCAGGCACGAGCCTCCGTGCAGGCAGGGCGCTGACGAGCACTCATCTACCTCGGCCTCGCAGGTCACGCCTGGACAGGGGTGGGAGACACGGGAACCACATCTAGAGGGGCGAATCGGGGCCCAGCCAGCAGTCTCAATCTGCTCCAGTTACCCGGAAGCCGGTGGCTCTCTCATTCAGAGGAGGTGCTGCTGGGTAGACACAAGAGGACCCTTCTTGCCCTGGCGGCCTCACAGCAGGGTAGGCCCAGAAACGGCTGGTGTTTAAATAATGGTGACCTCAAGAAGAGATAGAATTGGATCCTTTGAGTACAGGAGCCAGGGTCTGTTCTGGGGTGCTGGGAGAAAGGGTGGGGAGGGGGACTTCTTCAGAAACAGCTTTTTGAAGACTGAGATAGGACAGGTTGATGACAGTTGGTGGCACCTCCCTTGAGGTAGAGGCACAATGCCCTGCGGGAAGGATGGAAAAGAGATAGGACCTGGGGAGAGGGGAAGAAGTGAGAGGCATGAGAGCATCCAGTGCTTATCAGACCTCCTGCTCCTCCAGACTGGTCAGGCTTGAGGCTCAGTGTGAAGAGCACTCCCGGCCCTTCCAGAAGTCCAGAGTTCTGTTCCCAGCACCCACACTTGACCTAGAAGAGCAGGCCTGCCTGGTCGGGCTTTCATGAGGATGCTCAGGTAATATTCATAGCATTCCCTCACTCCAATCCCTCTTCTAGCATCCCATACACATGACATATACATAGATAAAAATTAAATCTTAGACACCTTGGAGATTAAGAATAACCCTGAAGGTCACTGACCTCCATTTGTTAACAGTTACATGCCAGCTAAGCCTTTTTTTCATTTTCAAAATCCTCTTCAAGCTGGTGTAACACATACTTTTCAGGAGTGGCTCTGTGCAACATTTATTGGTCTCCTGAAATTCATTTAGCCCCCTTTGAAGATACCTTAAAATTTATCAGCCTAGCCGGGAGTTGGTGGAGCACGCCTTTAATCCCAGCACTCGGGAGGCAGAGCCAGGTGGATCTCTGTGAGTTCAAGACCAGCCTGGGCTACAGAGTGAGTTCCAGGAAAAGTGCAAAGCTACACAGAGAAACCCTGTCTCAGAAAAAAAAAATTATCAGCCTAAATGTAGCCATTATAAGACCATTAGTTATGCTCCTTGTGAGCTGCCTGTTTTTTCTTTATGGTTCTTAGTTGTTTTTTTTTGTTTTGTTTTGTTTTTTTGTTTTGTTTTGTTTTGTTTTGTTTTGTTTTTGCAGAGCTGCCTGATTAAGTCGTGCTCAGATCAAGAAAAATGGACCTTGGTGGTTTATGTTCCTGGAGTTGTATCCATGCCAGTGGATGCCCACACACTCCAGAAGAGAATTTGACATTGTTGCTGCTATTGTTGCTGTTATAGCAGAGGCAGCCACCGTTGCTACTGTTTCTGGGATTACCATTTCATAATTGCTTACTACAGCTAGCATAGTGAAGACCCTGGCAGCAAAAGTAGCTACCACAGTTAATTAATCTTTCATTCTATTGGGCATGATAAATTTAATTCAATAGTTATATACATTTTGATTGGCTTTTAAAATTATAAATTTATAAACTCAAGTTCCATTTGCTTTTTGGATACCATCTTACAAGGACTCCAATTTGCAGTAAGGCTCGTTAAGGAAGGGAATGGCTCAGTTGCCTTTAGCCTACTGGCTATGGGTGGGTTAGGACCTCTGTTGGTATTTTCTGTGTCGAACACACAGATTGCAAGCCCAGCACCACTTTGAGATCTTTGACAGCAGTTAACTCTGCAGCTCACACACGATTGAGCCTGTATGATAATGAGTATTCAGAGACAGGTAATACCTGGGGGGTGCTCACCAACCTAAGACAGAGCGCCTGTGTGGCCTGGACATGCGTCTCCATGACGGGTAAGGTGACCTGCTGATATCCCATGCAACCTAAGTCAGAAGCTCATTTATTAGTAAAAGGGGGACCTGTAGGGCCCTGACCCCCGTTTTGGATAACTGTTGCCTTGCTTGCTAACCTTGACCTTGATATCCTCCCTATGCTAATTCCCTCCCGGGTTTCACCCTCCTGAATGCTTAAGGGAAGTTCCTTGTCTGTGTATCCTGCATAATGGGTGTTAAGAGCTTAGATGCAAGATTGTAAAACATGATAGCAAACTTCTGCCCTCTGGGGTTCTCCCATTGTGCTGTAAGCCTGTATTTAAGACCTCTTCCCTCCTTCAATAAACAGCATTGGGGGAGAGAAGAAGAAGAAGAAGAAGAAGAAGAAGAAGAAGAAGAAGAAGAAGAAGAAGAAGAAGAGAAGAAGAAGAAGAAGAAGAAGGAGGAGGAGGAGAAGATAACACACACACACACACACACACACACACACACACACACACACACAAAAGAAATGTAGGTTGTTGGTAGCGGTAATAACAGTCAATCTTTGTGGTCACCTTGACCAGACTTGGAATCACCTGGGAGACACACCTCTGGCTGTATCTGTAAGTTTATAGGAGGGTTCAACTGAGGAAGAAAGGCTGGGATCCTGGCTTGAATAAAAACAGAAAAATCAAAGAAAGCAAGCTAAGCGCCAGCATCCGGTGATACAGTATGACCAGATGGCTCATGCTGCTTCTGCCATGCCTTCCACATCATTATAGACAGCATCCCCACAAGAGCCAGAATGTACCCTTCCTTCCTGTAGTTGTTTCTTGTCAAGTATTTAACCACAGCAATGAGAAGGGTAAGCAACACAGCAGCTCAGCAGTGTGTTCAGAAGACTCACTGGTGGCTTTCAGAAGGATGTAAGGAAGGGACACCCCGGACAGGACACCCTGGAGTAGGGTCACTAACTCCTATCCTGCTTTGGCTTTAAAACTGGAAGTCCCTGGTTCCACCCAGGAATTCCCATGCCTCTGGGGAACTCTAAGTACAAACTGGCCCTCCCAGATAGGAGTGGAGATGGAGAAAAATGGAGAATCTCCAGGTGTAGTGTATATGAGACATACCCTATCAGTGTAGATTTCCATGGCCTTTTTTTTCTCCAGCCACCTAAGTAGGTTTTGTCATGGGGGCTAAGGAGCCAGCTGCCTCCAGCTGGAGCCCTCCTACTCCCCAGCGAGCAAGTCTCAGGACTCCTCCTTCCCATGACCCTCTAGCCCCACTCCCAGCCTCTGTGCCAGGGAGAGCCAGGCCCAGGCTGCCTGGAATCCCAACTCCCCCACCCTGCTCTGTGCAGGAGGAGGAGAGAAATGAGTCACACAAAGCTCCCTGCTCACATCATCTTCGCTGGCATCCTGCACATGCAGTGCTCACACACCCGCTGACACACACACAGACATGACACCAGCAGGTGCTCACAGGGCCCTTAGAGCTACCGTACACGTGCAGATAGCTGGGACCCACAGTCTCACTTGCACAAATGTACAGACACTGAGAGGGAAAGAGACAGGGACCCAGTGTTCATCTCATCCCCCTATGTCCTTCCTGGAACTTGGTTCCCAGTCTATACCATTTGCCCACAGTTTGAGCACAGTGTCTAGATTCAGGGCTGACGGAACCCCCAGTGTCTACACTGCAGACTCCAGACTGCACTAGATTAAATGTCCTTTGAGGACCTGTCCCCAGCTGAACCGTCCCTCCTGACGTCACGCAGCTCCAGAGAGCAGCAGTGCGGGGAGGAGGAGACTAGGGAGGTTCCCTCACCCATGCCAGCCATGCTTCTGGGCACCTGTGTCTACATTAATCTACTCTCGGCAACAAGGATGGCTAGGGACACATCCTTATCACAGACAAAAAAAGTATCCCAATTCAGGATGCCTAGAGCCACACATCCTGAGCCATACCAGGGTCCATCACGTGAGTCCCACAGGGTCTACGTGACAGCTTGACACAGGTTTAGACTGAGGAAATGCTAGAGATACCATCTGGGCTTCGTCATGAAAGCCAAACCAGGCAGGTATGCCCTGCCAGGGTTACCTGAGGGTCATTCCCAGCCTCCAACTGGGACCAAACTCAGTTCTGTGGCAGGAACAAAAGCAATATTTGTCAGTTACCTTATATGTGCCAGGCTCCATACCAACAACCAAACATACACAGATCCCACCTGCCAGGTTAGCCCAGCCAATCCTACCTGCTAGGTTAGCCCAAGAAACATCAGTTTAGCAGTCAGCCCAAGAGTGGGTACCAAAGCTGCCTGAGGCATCTCTAGACTTGAGCCAAAGCCAAATAGAGATGCTCACACTGTGAGTAGCTGATGGACTCCATAGTCCAGCCCTCCAAGGTGACTTGTCCCATTACCTGCATAGCCCAGGGGGCAGTGGCACTCGTAGTGATCTGCCAGGTTGCGGCAGGTGGCCCCATGGTGGCAGGGCCGGGACGCACACTCATCGATGTCCAGCTCACAGTAGGGACCCTGGAAGCCAGGCACACAGTAGCAGCGGAAGCCGTTAGGGTCTGGGCCCTGGGGCACACACAGTGCACCATGGTGGCATGGCTGAGAAGCACAGCCCCCAAGCTCTGCAGGCTCACAGGTATAGCTACCACTTTCTGTAGCCTGGCACTCGGTTCCAGCACCACACGGGTCTGAGGCACAGGCACTTGGAGTCTCTGAAGGAACCAACCCTGTAGAAAAAGAAAACAATTTGGCAATGTGGGCAGGGTCTGCATAATGCACACTTCCCCCAGTGTTAGCAGCCAACCTACAGGTAACTCAATTCTGTTCGTGTTTAAGAGCCTGTATGTGTGCACATCCACAAGCTGATCAGAAATGCAGACACCTGCACCTGCGACTGAGGTTGTATTGACTTATTTTGTGTTTGTTTTTAGAAGCACTCTTCTGGAGTCCAATCCAGCCTGGAACTTGCTATGTCTCCAAGGATGACCTTAAACTCCAGATCCTCCCTCCCGCCTCCCAAATGCTGGGATTACAGGCATACCTTACCACTCCAGGTTGATGGAGTGCTGGGGAGTCAAACCCAGGGCTTCCCTGGTGAAAGACAACCACTCTTCAGACTGAGCTACACCCCCAGGCCCAGGCAGGTTTTAGTTGTAGAGAGCAGAGACAGGAGAGAATGAGCGGCTCCCGCGTGATGCCATCACATAACAGATAGTACCCATGCTGTCTGGCCACTCCTGCAGTACCCCGAGGAAGCTCGGACTGTCCTTTGTTCACTTTACAGACATGTAGTAGAGCTCAAGGAAGTAAAGACTTGCTGACATCACACAGTAAGTTCACAAGGAACAGACCTCAGTGCCAGGTTGGTCCCACTGCACCAGGGAGTAGTTCGCCAGGCCTTTCCATTCTGCAGGCCTGTGTCCTCTCAGCAGCCTGAAGTGGGATGGAGGAGACAGAGGGACAGCTTCTATCCCCCCCCCCCAAGCCCCCGCTGGGGGTCTGGTAACTCCATTCCCGACTGAAACCTGAGATGTCCGACCTCAGCCTCAGAGAAGGAATGGACTTCAAAGGCAGGGCCTGCCTCTGCCTCTCTCACCCCTACCCACCCTTGGTCCCGCCTTCCTGCCTCCTGGCCTGGGACTTCTAGAGGATCCCTAGCACTCACTTCATCCCCCACAAGCAAATACCTGCGAAAGTACCCAAGACAGAGCAGGTATAACGACCTTGACCTACTCACTGAATACCTGACCAGGGTCTATACACTTGGCGCATCCTGTGTTGATTTAGAAGCCAAGTTCAGAGAGCCTTGTTCCTTCACTTCATCCGGCCCCAAAGCCTTGTCACTAACAGGTCCAAACCCCAGCCCAGAACCATGAGCTAGAATTTGGGTAAATGCCTCCTCCTTTTGGGTGGCAGAAGGATTCAAAGCCTCAGGGGCCAGATAAAAATGTGAGGGACATGAGCCCTCCTACCCCCACCTGGAGTTCCAGGACCTACCCTCCCCCCAGGTTGTCATGCAGACACTAACCAGACCTGAGCAGTGAGCAGCATCAGGGCCCTGTGCCTTCCCCTCCCCCACTCCAAGAAGACTCCCCCTCCCTCCGATAAGGTTGGCAGCCTGTCAGGCGTCATCCACATTCCATGGGGCAGGGCGGCTGCTGGCCAGATCCCCATGCTCCTCAGCCCAAGATGGAGGACAGCAAGCCATGGGGACAGTGGACCCAGGGAGACACGGCTAGGCAGTGCCTCCTCAAGTGCCCAGGGTTCTTCCTTGCACACTGGGGCCTGGCATCCTCCAGAGCCAGGCAGGGGATCAGGTTCTGGAGTCTGAGACACTTTCTGGCTAAGAGGGCCCTCTGCTCCCAGCTGTCCCAGCCCAGGCATCCATTCCCAGCCTCTGCCAAGCCCGAACATTTGGGCTGGGCAAAGGGGGAGCCTGGGCTACTCTGAGGGCTTACAGGCAGTGGGTGGCCCTCTGCTTCTGCTCCTGTGACTGAGCAGACTGGGAAAGTCAGTGGATGCCCCAGCAGATACCCTATGAGGGAAAGAAGTTGACTGGATGGGTGATGGGAAGATGGTCAGGTGGGACGTGGATGGAACACCTTTAGGAAAAAGCATGTTTTGGAGCAGCAGACAGATTCAGGGTTACGGAGCCTTGACACCCAGTGAGTCCCCTTGAGAGGCAGTGGCCATAACAGCCAGGGACCCTTGGCCCAAAAGGCCCCAGAGGAGAGTGGTTATATGGTCTCTTATGAAGCACCTGCCACTGGGCCCTTGCCAACAGCTACTACTGTGATCCCATGGAGCACAGGTCCTCACCCCCTCACCCCAAGCTGGAGCTTAGTCCCTAGCTCGGAGCCCTCTGTTAGTGGCCACAGCATCAGGGGAAGGAGCTTTGCTCCTCTATGGGTCCTCCGAGAGCCCAGCAGCAGACTGCTCCTCTGAGAACTCCCTGAAAGGCAGAACCAGCCCCACAGTTAGAAAACTAGGAACGAAGCAGAAGGGTGCAAGAGGCCCAGAGACCGAGCAGCAGCCGGGACCTTCCTTCACTGCCTAGATACCTGTGGTGTCAACAGTTTTATCTGCCCTTTTTTATAACCCAGAGACTCATCACTTCCAGTCCTACCGCACTCAAAGGGTGGCCCCGTCGGCCCGCAGTAAGCCCAGGGGTCTATTGAGCCAGGAGGGGAAGGGCTCTCCCTAGGGCCTAGCTAGAGGGGCGGAGTCTGTCGCCAGGGCAACAAGGGGCCAGTGCTTATCTTTACAAATCCCTCCTGACCTCTCAGACTGCCTGGGCTGACCTGGCAGAGGAGAGATTAACAGACACAGACACGGGATGCTGGCCCTTTCCTCCGACCTGCGACCTGCCCTACCCTGAGGGGAGCATGAGGGAAATGTATGCAGGCATTGCTGGCAGCCACCAGTGTGAGCACTGAGTTCTAGGGCCAGGCATCTTTTGCCATCTTAGTATATTTGGTTCTAGGTAGAAAAAAGAGACTGTTAAGAAAACTAACTGCTTCCCGTCACCAAGAGCCTGAAAACCTGCAGATGCAGAAGCTTGTGAAATTGCAGGCCCAAGTACTGTGAACCTAACATGGCCCCAGCCCTCCTCCCCTCACCAGAGGAGTCTCTAGAGGTCTGGGGAACGATGTGTGGCTCCGTAGTACCCCCCTTGTCTAGCATATGCAAAAGCCTGGGTTGCAGCCCCACAGCAGCCTCCTGCCCACCCTGAGCCGAGCAGTTGGCATGCCGCTGTGCCAGTCCTCAGCCGGCCCTTAGGCGCTCCCACCCTACCTGAGTTCACCTCCTTTCTCTGGGCCTGTCCTAGTCAGGGCTGCTACCACCGCCATGAAACACCAGGACCAAAGCAAGCTGAGGAAAGGCTCACACGTGCTTATCATCACTGACGGGAGTCAGGACAGGAACTCAAATAAGGCAGGAACCTGGAGTCAGGAGCTGATGTGGAGGTCATGCAGGGGTTCTGCTTACCAGCCTGTTCTTCATGGCTTGCTCAGACTGCTTTCTTGTAGACCCTGGGACCACCAGCCCAGGGGCGACCACACCCACAATGAGCCACACCCACATTTGGCCTTTAACTAAGAAAATGCCCTACAGGGTCGCCTACAGCCCAGTCTCGGGGAGGCATCTTCTCAATTGAGGTTCCCTCCTCTGGTGACTCCAGCTTGTGTCAAGTTCACATAAAACTGCCACCTCAAGGGGTACAGTGCAGTAAGGGGTCACTGACACTCAACACCCACTCATCAGGAAAAGGCAAAGACACCCCAGGAGATGTTCACCCCGAAGTCAAAAGGCCTAATTTAGTAACAGTTGTGGTGAGTATAGGTATTTCGATGAGTGCCCAGCACTGGCGCATACTGGAGTTGCTAGTCCCTGGTCTCAGGTCTGAGTGAGAACACAAGCTGGGATGGTTCAGACTTGCCACTCGTACTGGCTGCTGTGGACAGTTTCTCTGGTAACTATTAATATGCTTCCATCTGAAATCCCCTTGAGGGCTAGTGAAACGTCTCTTCAGGTAAAGGCACTTGCTGTGGAGGACTGACGACCTGAGCTTGATCCTCAGAAGCCATGTAAAGATGATGAAGGGAGAGAACCAACTCCACAGTTGTCCTCTGACCTCCACACTTGGGTTTGCACACGCGCAGGCATGCGCTCATAAACACACACACACA